ATGTATTTACACAAAATAACTAATTGAGTTGGAATCATTTGCTGACAGCTTGGTCCCCCCAGTTCAAAAATCCCATCTGCGCCCCTGTAGCATGACTGGGAGGAGTGGATTTTTATTTAGATTTATTTTAATTATTTTTTTTAGTTTTATATACCTTATTAATCCCCAAGGGGGAAATTCAGTCTTTTCACTCCAGGCCCGAATACACACAAATGCACAAACAGGACCTTTACATGCATTAAATGGAGAGATGTCAGAGTGAGGGGGCTGTCCTTGGACAGGGTAAATTAATAAATTCTCTAACACTGCTTTAGATGAATTAATTCATTAATTCATTAGATGAATTAATTCATTAGATGAATTAATTCTCCTGTTTTGTCTTTCTGTCACAGAAGAGGTTTTAATTTTTATTAGGTTTTTATGTACAACTCCTCTTTTTTTGACTTTAGAGTTAAATAATTTAGGTGGTCGGGGGACAGACACTGTTTATATAACACTATGGGTGGGCAACTACACTAGAAGCTCAAAGAAGCGTTTAAGACTACGACTCTGATTCCAGGTCTCAACTCTGGGTTGTCAGGGTTTAGAATTACTAATAAACTTAGTAACACTTATATGCCTTTTGCTAATGAGTGATGGCGTAAAAAGTATTCATAAAACACTTCACTTTCATCTTATATGGCTAATTATTAGGTTATTTTATCCAGCCTTTTAAGATGAACTACAAAAATAACTCTAGTGCTCCACTGTGCCCTCACAGTTGAGTTCTGCCCTTTTTGCTCCGATTATTTTTAGTCTTTTTGTCTTTATTACACAGGATAGACATAAGCATGAGAGGGGGGAAGAGGGGATAATATGCATCAAACGGCCACAAGCTGGAATTGAATCCACGGCCACTACTGCTAGGACAATGCCTTTGTACATGGGCCGGCTGTTCTAACTACTGAGCTACTGGGCGCCCCTGGAGATAAGAATCATGACACATAAGATTTACGACATCTAATTTCCTAACAATTAGACATACCTGGCGTGGAAGCAGGCGGGTTGACCTTAATTCTTGAGCTTTCTTCACTGTCGACATACCTGCTCTTGTCACTTTATCTGTGAACAACGGAGTACAACACCACAAATACCTTTGGGGACCAACTTTTGGAAACTGTGCGTGCACCATTGTCCCCATTTGTATTGCACCTTTCCCCTCTCCATGATGTTTGGCTTTGCATCCCACCTGAAGCATGGCTATTTCACAAGAGCAGACGTGGTTGGACATGTCATATGTACTAGTTTGCTGAAAATATAGTCTGACCTTTACTCTTGATTGGAACAAAACATCAGTTTCAAGCCCAAATCTGTCTTATTGTGCACTTGTGACTCTGACCCTGTGTGCTCTGAAATATTGCTGTGTAGTTTTATCCATAATGCATTCTTATAATGCTAGGAACAGAGTTTTCCAAAAGTGCATACAATGTCCAGTTGGGTGAAAGCTATATGTTGGATGAGGGTTGAAACTGTGAAGCCAACACATTCCTCCTTTCCATTCCATTCCATTTTCCACCACTGGGTTGTGGGGGCAGCAGGCTGAACCAAGTGTTCCGGTTGCCGTTCTTCGCCGGAACACTTTCCAGCTCCTCCTGGGGGATCCTGAGGCTTTCACAGGCCAGATGAGGTATATAATCCCCTCAGTGTGTTCTGGAACTGTCCCCAGTTGGACATGCCTGGAACACCTCTGGCGACCAGGAACCATCCTGATGAGATGCCCAACCACCTCAACCGCCCCCTTTCGACACACTTTAATTGACAGTCTAATAAGGGGTGTTTTCTTTCCTTGAAATTTCATATTTCAGATAAGTCTGTAACTATAGACTGCACAGTGTATGGATAATTCTGTGTGCACTCCCAAAAGGTTTGCAGTGATTTTCCCTGCTTAGTTTGTGCTACTGAATCATAAGCATTCATGGTTAGAGTGCCTGTTTTGTCAGTTAAAATGTGGATACACACCACTTCCCTCTAGTGGTAGATATCCATGTAAATTGGTTTGTTATTTTCTTGGATAAACTGACCCTTTAAAATAGATTATTTACGGTTTGCTGTCTCTGGTGAGCTATGGTTGTTCACTTTTATTTTTGTTATCAAAGCATAAAAATGTTTGTCTTTGACACACTGAGCAGCATGAGCAGAGGAGATAAATAAACTCAGTGAAATTGACCCTGAAATGCCAGTTAGTCTTAAGTTAAGTTTGCTAACTTGTATCTTGTTTTAAAAATGAACGTTTATTTATATTTTGTTTTACGAAGCAATTTGGAATACAGTTTGTACAGAAGTAATGTGGACATGTCTCAGTAGGAAAAGCATAGGCGTAAATAATCTACTGAATGATGGCTGAATTCCATTTATCTGCTTCAGTTTCAAGGTCCTGGTATTGGGCATGCTGGCTTGCTGGGACACTTGAATAGAACAGAGCTATCAATAATGCTGTGAGGGATTCAAAATGTCTGTTGTTAAAAAAAATGTCTGCTGAATGTGTGTCCACTTACTTGTGAGGGCAGAGGCAGAAGGTAATGTATGATTTGTGGGATCAAGCAGTGTACCTGCTCTCACTCGTATTTTCTGTGCTGGTCAGGTGAACGAGGCGGAGGAGGAGCGCCTCCGCAGTGAGCGGGAACACCAGCGCGTCACTCAGCTCTGCCAGGAAGCTGAGGCTCAAGTCCAGACCCTCCAGAAAGCCCTGAAGAAGGTCATCCTCAAATCCAAACCTTACTTTGAACTGAAGGCTCAATTCAATTACATTCTCGAGGTGTGTACCAGCAGTGAGCTTTCACAATATAACAAATACTATTCAAAACTGCCACAAGCTGACGGTTTTACTTTTCTGACCATGAGTGAGCAGGGACAGGCTCTGCATGACACTCCACATGGTTTAGCAGCTTTTGTTGTTGATGTACGTTACCTGTGGCTAGTTTTAGCTATGCTGTTAATGCAGAGTCTGCCAAATGTGTGTAATGTATGTGATTTACCTTACATGCAGACATTTTTAGCTCTGGGCATCGCACACTGCTTGTCAAAACATTTAACCTTCAGTGACTTATTATTTAAATTTTGAAAATCTCCAACTTGGCCTGTGGCTTTGCAGCTGCTTTGAATTGCTTTATGTTTCAAAAAAAAATTTGTGAGGGCCAAGTTGAGAGATTTGAACCAGGTTTCAGTCGCTGAAGGGAAAACAGCTGATTATAGGTAGATCTTTGAATGTTGTTGTGTGCTGATGTACTGTGTATATGGTGTTGATATGTGTAGTTCTATCTTATCAGCTGTGTTGGCCAATGACATCATCAGCCTAATTGATGCAATCTGCTGACAGCTGGTTTTCATTAGCTGTTGTTTGCTCCTCATGATGGTTTTTAAGTAAAGCTGAAAGCTTGAGAATTTAATGCAGATTTAAAAATCACTTATAGATATAGATATAATTATTGACTTTAAAAAGGGATGACTAATTGTAAATTCAGTTGCACATAAACCGTAATAGGGATGTCAACAGATAACTGTTCATTGGTGACTGTTTACGCATGTCTGTCTAGGCTAATTTTGCTACTCTTCAGTTTACTGCACTGTGCACCGCCCAGGTCTGGTGGGAGCTAAAGTTAGTGGTCGCCGTGTTTCCACAGCAATGATGTCCTGCCACTGGGATGGAGTTACCAGTGGCAATGACCTGGATGGTGCACAGAGCAGAGCAGACAAGGCTAACATTAGCTAACCAGTGGGACTTAAAGGTTGTGTTGTGTGCTCTATATTTCTGTATGTCAATGCAGCAGCTAAGCAAAGCCAGCAAAAAATAAAATAACTGGCAAAACATTTACATCACAAAACATTAAAATTTCACCTCCTCTAAATGGATAGCACTTTGAACTTTGGTGCTGAAGCTCACTGACTCAATGGAGTGGCAGACGTAAAAAAAGTCCTCTTGAATTTCACGGAATTTTGTGTTTTTTCTTGAAAATTAATCAGTTACTGGTGTAATTTGTCAGAAATGGTCAGTAATTGGTGTTAGGCTATTAAAAGCAGAACTGACCAAAACTGACATCCCTAAACAGAAAGATGATAAAGTCAGTGACTGATGGTAATGCTTTGACTTTACTGTTTTTCTGAAGTCATGTTTATTTAGGTTGTCACTGTGAGCCTGGCTAAATTGCTCTTAACTTTTTTCAGGAACATAAGGCTAGAGTAGTACACCTGGAGGAACGGGTGGCAAAAGTAAAAACACGATACTCTGTAGCCTTGCGGAACCTGGAGCAGATCAGCGAGCAGATCCATGCACAGAGAAGGCGAATCAGGGCCAGCAGGGAGCGTCCTGCAGTCTGCGGGGGGCGAAGCTCCCCTGTAGGTGCTGAGGCTGAGGTCCAAGCTGCCTTAGCGATCTGCATCGGGAGTAGTTGTGTGGGAATAGAGAGCAACTGGATGGACAATGACAAAACCAGGCTGTGGGTGGAGAGGCACAGAGAGAGTGGCTGGGGCCAGAGGGAGCGGCTGGAGGAAGAGCAGGCCGGCTCGGACTGCATGTCTGTCATCAGCCTGCAGACCATCGCCTCTGACCTGGAAAAGTGGGACTCGGTGGAGCACCTGGGTGACCTGAGCGAGGCTGGGAGCATGCTGGGTGAGGAGTGGGACCGCAATAGGAAGCCTAATGAGAGGCCAATCAGCAGGGAGGTCGTGGCAGAGGGGCCCCAGCAGGAGAGGGTCCATCAGGAGAAGGAAGCGGCCAGTAAAGAGAAGCAGGAGAGCTTCATCAAGCAGCACCATAGAAGTATTAGTATATGATAGTCAGCAGGAGAAGGGAGCTGATGAGTGATGAGTAATAAGGAACATGACAAGCTCATGATGAGGGATCAGAGAGGAATTTGGCGGGGGGAGAGAAAAGCACCCTGACTGAGAGGTGGCAGAGGAACTGGAACAGTTCTGCCTGGACACTGCAGTTAGGAATGGCAGGAAGGGTTGGTACATCGGTCACACACTAATGAATCTACATGACAGCAGAGAGCTGTTCTGCAGAGAGCACTGACTTCCCCTCCCCTCACACTAGTGCTTTGCATTTTCTGATCCAGTCTGTTGCCTCACACATTGAAACTTCAACAAAAGTGCATGAAACAAACAGCAGGCTTAGGAAAACAAATCACTGTGGCATACAAACAGGTAGTTTTGAAACAATGCAAAGACATGTTAGTGGTAAATTTGTGTGTCTGGTTTTTAATATCCCTGTGGAACATTTAAAAACGTTGTTGACATGACATCAACTTGTGTTTTTGCTTGAGGGATGTATAAATGTACCCTTTTGTTTAAAGGGTAATTCCACTTTGGCCAACATTTTTATCAGTAACATTGGACTTATTAACTGTTGAGATCTGGGAACAAGAACAACACAAGAGGTCAGATGGGTTGTAAACAAGCTAACAGTTTACTCAAATTACCTAAATTACCTTAATTGGCAGTCAAAAGTAAATTTACCTGAAATGTCCCTAATAATCCTTCATTACACAGTTAAACTGTGTGCACACAACTATGGTATGTATGGTTAAACCAACAAGACACTCTGGGGTGTTTCGCTTTGTCTGATTGTCTGACTGCCTGTGTTTCTTGATCGGTTGGACTCCCTTTTAGTGGTGTTCCCAAATCTCAGCAATCAATCTCATAAATAATGATGGTCAAGAATAAGATAGTAGTAGTAGTAGTAGTAGTAGTAGTTATAGTCATGTAATAGTACAAAAACATAAGATACTTTTTAACATAATTTTGATAAAACCTACCAATGGAAAAAAAGGTACAGGCCTTATCTTCTATCACTAGTATGGGTGTAAATGATTTTTTTTTTATCACAATACAATATTATATCAATTCTTTGGACAACGATACGATATTTGCTGATATCACAAAGTCTGCCACGATACGATTTTGATTTGAGCTAGTATTATGTGCCCATCTAACATAATCAGTTACAGATGAACCCTTTTTGCATTGTCACTCTTGGCCGTGCTGAGTAAAGCCATGCCTCACCAATTTGTGTTTTTACAGTCAGTTTAGATGTGCCAAGCTACACCAAGCCACGTCGGAGATCAACCTTCTCAGGAGTAGGTCCAAAATCCGGGCCACCCTCCCTCAAGCAGGTAGTGGTGATGTCATTCACATACAGTGAATACAACTTTGTATTAAAATTCCCCACTGATATTAATGATAGCGTGATATAGAACAATTAAACAGCCTATAAACCAAAAGTCTTGGACACTGGGAGGGGCAGGCAGGGGATCAAAGTCTGATCAATTATGAGATAGGGATCAATATTTTTGGTCTATCATATGAGACACAACAGACAAATGCTCAGATTAGCACAACAAATGAAATGGCATGCGGGGTCAGTCACTATGACAAGTGCATATTAATTTATCAGAGCTGGAAGACCTTAGACTCTTTTTTTTCTCCTAAAAGTTAATTTGTATTTAATCTTGTGATAGCATGACTTAATTCTCATAGATTCACGACTTTATTGTCGAAATCTTAGATTTTTTTTCCTTAAAGGGCCAGTGTGTAAAATGGGTTGAAAACAGTGACATCAGTGGTCAAATTCTAGATTGCAGGGCTCACTCGCTCACCCCTCCTGTCGGGTAAATGACGGCGGACTCGTAGGGTCAAAAAGCCTTGCGCACGACTTTTTCAGGAGTAGGTCTATCTAGCGACGAGGTGAATGTTTATTTAGAAATCTAAACCATGTTACGATAGTGTAATGAATCCCTCATGAGCAGGAGACCAGAGGGGCTTTCGGGAAAAAGGCCCGTTTATTTGAGCACTCCAGAAACTCCAGTAACACTCCACTCCGTTCCAAACTCTGACTCTTCTAGTGTAACAGACACACTTCATAACTTTACACACATACTCGTTTATCATACTGAGTGGGGACCCCCCTCCCCTCTCTGCTCCGCCAATCTCCAGCCAGCACACTGACTGACAGCGTAGCCGGTAAACAGAGCTCAGCTGTTTATTTAGCCTAGCAATATCTCCGGACTATAGTAGCTGCAATGGACGACTTTGAAAGCGATTTTGAAGAGTTTCTTGTAGCGGACACAGACCCAGAGCCATACCTGTTTGAGCCGGAGCACACAGATGAGGAACTCAATGTGTTTGATGCTGAGCGGGTGAGAAGAGAGGCTGAATGCACAGAATGGGATTCGGTGCTACTGTTGCCATTGTTGGGGAGATATATCATCAGGAGGAAAAGCGCCGCAGAGAGTGCATCACAAGGAGTGAAACTACGTCTTCTTTTCCTCGCAGATGACGGTTCGGGTTCATTCTCTCCTGTTGCGTGGTAAGTGTGGTCCATTCGCAAACTTTATAACTAAAAAAACTTTTCACTACTCTATCGAAGAACTACTAACACTCTGCTGTTTCTTCCTCCCTCTTCCTTCCTTCCGCTGTCTTCGTTAGTTCATTTATACACGCGAAACACGTTCTCTGGCTGGCTGGATTGTCCACTCGGTCTGCCGTACGTACATGGCGGCGCAAGATGGCGACCTCTCTAAAGCAAGGCCCTTGCTATATATATATATATAAAAGCATAATTATAAGGCTACGAAAACCAAACGAATTTTATTTTATAGTGATCATACACTTGTATAAACATATTAATGGGTAGAATATTCAGATTCAGATTCAGATTGACAATAAACCATGCCAAATATTACACACTGGCCCTTTAACGTGGCCCTAATACATGTGCTGTTTGATGATGTATAATACTGTCACCATAAATGTGTAATCTGTAACCTTCCACAAATACAAAAAAAGATTTGTAAACTCACAAAAATATTTTACAAGTATAAAACGGATCTGCAAATACACAAACACATTCCACAAATAAAAAAAATATCTGTGAATACATTAAATTAATTTGCAAATAAATGAAAAACATTTGTGAATATCTTCCTAACATTTACAACTTTCAAACAGGCATTTATGAACTCAGTTGTTATATGTGAATCGAAAAAACATTTGTTGATCTCACTTCTACGCGTGTGGATTTGCTTTTTACACACACAGAGTTTTGAAACAATCTTTCCGCTGGTCCGAACGAAAATGCACTCGTATCACTTGGCCATTTTCAGATAGCATGTGATCACCCAGCTGATGACGTCATTTCCGCATGTCAAAGTAAGAGCATGCAGTCTTTCTATGAGCTTTTTTTTTTTTTTTTTTTTTTTTTAATAATCAGCGATAAGTAACGTGCATTTATTGTTTTATGTTAATGTCATACAGTGAGTATTAGTGTGTATTTATTTGTTCCATGTATATTATCTGGCACACACTTTTGTATACATTTCTGTTTGAGTATGAAAGGCACGACAATGCTTGTGGGCAAGTTCAGTTCTCTGAAGCGTTGGCTTGATTGCTTCTTCAGTTGGCAGTTATCAGCCAACTCATCCTTTATATTTTTAATTTATTCTTTCAAGTAGGATTAAAGTCACAAAGCACTACACATCTTATTATTAGTGTACTCTTACTAATGTATCAATCAATCAATCAATCAATTTTATTTATAAAGCCCAATATCACAAATCACAATTTGCCTCACAGGGCTTTACAGCATACGACATCCCTCTGTCCTTAAGACCCTCACAGCGGATAAGGAAAAACTCCCCAAAAAAACCCCTTTAACGGGGAAAAAAAACGGTAGAAACCTCAGGAAGAGCAACTGAGGAGGGATCCCTCTTCCAGGACGGACAGACGTGCAATAAATGTCGTACAGAACAGATCAGCATAATAAATTAACAGTAATCCATGTGACACAATGAGAGAGAGAGAGAGAGAGAGAGAGAGAGACAGGTAATGACAGTAGCTTACAACAACATTATTGAAAGTAATAATATTATAGTTATAGTTCTGGCTACTGTGGTACAATATGTTGAAAGTATGTATTAATATCTGGCAGTATACATGTGTGACAATAGTCATATGTGTATAATAACAGTAGAAGTATGACTAATGACTAATGATGGCAGCAGCAGCAGGAGGCATCTGGCAGGACCACGGCAGCAGCACAACCACACACGTCACGCTGTCCAGGCACCGCTGCGATATGAGTTAATCTGAGAGACAGTGGAGCACAAAGGCTCCGGAGAAGAAGCCGAGTTAGTGACATCCAGAATGGCCGAGTTAGCAAGATGCAGTAATAGGATGAGAGTGAGAGAGAGAGAGAGAGAGAGAGAGAGAGAGAGAGAGAGGGAGAGAGAGGGAGCCCGGTGTATTATAGGGGGTCCTCCGGCAGACTAGGCCTAAGTCAGCCTAACTAGGGGCTGGTACAGGGCAAGCCTGAGCCAGCCCTAACTATAAGCTTTATCAAAGAGGAAAGTCTTAAGTCTAGTCTTAAATGTGGAGACGGTGTCTGCCTCCCGGACCGTAACAGGAAGATGATTCCACAGGAGAGGAGCCTGATAGCTGAAGGCTCTGGCTCCTGATCTACTTTTGGAGACTTTAGGGACCACGAGTAACCCTGCGTTCTCAGAGCGCAGTGTTCTGGTGGGATAATATGGCACTATGAGCTCTCTAAGATATGACGGAGCTTGACCATTTAGAGCTTTATAAGTTAACAGTAGGATTTTAAATTCAATTCTGGATTTTACAGGGAGCCAGTGCAGAGAAGCTAAAACAGGAGAAATATGATCTCGTTTCTTAGTTCCTGTTAGTACACGTGCTGCTGCATTCTGAATTAGCTGGAGAGTTTTTAAGGACTTACTAGAGCTACCTGATAATAGAGAGTTACAGTAATCCAGCCTTGAGGTAACAAAAGCGTGGACCAATTTTTCTGCATCTTTTCGGGTCAGGATAGGCCTAATTTTCGCAATATTACGCAGATGAAAAAATGCAGTCCGTGAGGTTTGCTTTAAATGAGAATTAAAAGACAAATCTTGATCAAATATTACTCCGAGGTTTCTTACGGTAGTGCTAGAGGCCAGAGCAATGCCATCTAGAGAAACTATGTCATCAGATAAAGAGTCTCTGAGTTGTTTGGGGCCAAGAACAATAACTTCAGTTTTGTCTGAATTTAACATCAGGAAATTGGTGCTCATCCAATTTTTTATGTCTTTAAGGCAGTTATGGAGTTTAGTTAATTGATTACTTTCTTCTGGCTTCATCGATAAATACAACTGTGTATCATCCGCATAACAATGGAAATTTATAGAGTGATTTCTAATGATGTTACCTAAAGGAAGCATATATAGAGTAAATAGGATTGGTCCGAGCACAGAACCTTGCGGAACTCCAAAACAAACTTTGGTACGTAAGGATGATTCATTACGAACGTCAACAAATTGAAAACGATCAGATAAATAAGATTTAAACCAGCTTAGTGCTGAACCTTTTAGGCCAATTAAGTGATCCAGTCTCTGCAGTAGAATTTGATGGTCAATTGTGTCAAACGCCGCACTAAGATCTAATAAAACAAGAACAGAGACGAGTCCTTTGTCTGAAGCAATCAGAAGGTCATTTGTAATTTTAACTAGAGCTGTCTCAGTGCTATGATGCACTCTAAATCCTGACTGAAATTCCTCAAATAAATTATTATCCTGGAGAAAATCACACAGCTGGTCTGCGACTACTTTCTCAAGGATCTTTGACATAAAGGGAAGATTAGATATTGGTCTATAGTTGGCTAACACCTCTGGATCCAGGGTGGGCTTTTTTAGGAGAGGTTTAATTACAGCTACCTTAAAAGACTGTGGTACATAGCCTGTTAATAGGGATATATTGATCATATCTAATATATGAGTGTTAACTAAAGGAAAGACCTCCTTAAGTAGCCTAGTTGGGATGGGGTCTAAGAGACACGTTGATGATTTAGATGAAGAAATCACTGCGGTCAATTCTTGAAGAGAAATTGGGGAGAAGCAATCTAAATATATATTAGATTCTACAGCTGTGTTTGAGGTTAGATAGGTAGGCCTACCATCTGAGGGCAGGAGGTCATGAATTTTGCCTCTAATAGTTAGAATTTTGTCATTAAAAAAGCT